TGACTGATAATTAAATTACAATGAAATATAAAGCTTGTGTATCAAAGCCTGCATCTTTTTTTTTCAAAACATGCATTTTAAAATGCATGAAAAGGCAAGCCTCAAAGTAGAAAAATATATTTGCAACAAATATAATGAACAAAGGATTAGTATCCAGAATTGATGAAGAATATGTAATCTATTATATAAATCAAGAAAAAGATACCACACAGTCTATGAAAGTTTCTAGAAGATTCAAATGTCTTTGACTGTTTTCAGTTCTGGGTGGCCTCAGCTCTTCATCCTGAAGGTCTGGTCAGGGATGGACTTCTAGAAGCCCCTTAGACTGAAAAGGGATGGAATGTGAAGCAGTGTGAAGCTTCTTTTTCTGAATGGGTGCTATGAATGATAGAAATGCCTTCATATGGGTCAGAGGCAACATGATGCCCCACTTTTCTCTTGTAAGCAAGAAATAACTTTTCAGAGTCCTTGTAAAAACAGAATCAGCCAAATGCTTCGATCTGCAGGTACACAAAAGCAGATACATAGCATTATACAACAAGGTCTTGGTAAGTGATGGATATTTTCAGATTTTACTTTATATGCTCACTTATTTTTTGAATTGTTAAAGGCACATATGATGAGCAATATTCTTTTACAATGCACACAATATAAACATTAAAAATGGCCTTATTTTGTATTTTGAAGCTCTCTCATTTGTCTTTCTCCTGGAATATTCTGCACCCTACTCCTTTCTGAAAGTACATTTTGTGACGGGTCTCACTTTAGCATATTTATCCACTTGATCCCTACATTTTTAAGAGGAGAAAAACAGTGTTCCAAGTCCATGCACATTGAGAATTTTAAATTTTATTTACAAACCAACAATAACAAATAATCTTATACAAGGATCATTTCTGTAGGATAGTACTTAGCAATCCAGAGTGATCAGGAAATACAGAGAGAGGGAAACAATAATCTGTAATTTTACTTTACACATGTCTGTGTTGTTGACATTAAAAGGATAATATTATTATTAAAACAATGGTATTAAAAGAAAATGAATAAAACTTTTGAATGGCCTTGCTTGCATCCTCCCTCAGCTTTCTTTTTTTTTTTCAACTAGAATTTTAAAGCGCAACCAAAACCACTTATTTTCTACCTTTTAGTAATCTTTCCATGTATTTTATAGGCAAGCCCTTACCAGGTTTTGCTTGACTTACTTCCAACACTCTGGCACTTTCCACTTGTTTCTGAATGTACGTGTTCTGGATTAAGAAAGTTCCATATATGGTAATGTGGATTCCATTAAGCAGAAGAATGAAAGAGTAAATCCCATTACTTAGCCATGTGACTGTAGGCATCTTTCAAAGAAAACACCCTCTACCCTTCACCATTTCACCCCACCCCAAATAATCCTGGACCCTAATCAGGAGGTATTAAGTGATTCTTTTTAAATTGTTCTGTAAGTAACAGATTGGAGGGAGGCAAAGTAATGTAAGGCTGAGTATCAGCAAAGTCAATGTAAATGGGTCAAAGTGATCCTGATGACAGAATCCCTCTTTTTAATACCTACAGCTGAGGAAAATATGGCACACAGATAATGCAGTGACTTGCCCAAGGTCATAGAACCACTGTGCAGGAGGGAAAGGACTAGCACCTAGCTATCAGAAAGGAATACAAATATTTCTACTGTACCACACAATAAGGTAGTAAGAGGAGAAAACAATACCTGATTTGTCTTATTTGTATTATGTCAAGAACATGGAGTCTGACTGATATCAGAAAAGGATAGCCTCCAATCACAATTTTTCCACAGAACGGATGAACAACCCTACACGGGCTGTTGCATTTCATCCATTCTAAAATACACATTTGTTTCACTTTTTAACACTTCAATCACTGGTCTTAGCATTACTACAGCAAGCATTTTATCTTTCTTGGTAATATCTAAAATAGCTTGTGTCTTAAAAGTGATGGCATCTTATATTCAATGAAATACAGCTCTTCACCTGTTGGAGCTTCAGTTTCCTCATCTAGAATATAGAGCTGAAAAATCAAACTGTCATGAGGATTAAGGGAGGTAAAACAGTGTACAGCAACAATCCTAGCTCCAGGCACAGAACAGGTGCCCAGAGTTCCTTGGGTTCCCCAGGGGGAGTCCCCTCAGGATTCTCTCTCTTCCCTCTCTCTCTGCCCCTCCCCCCCCATGTGCACGCTCTCTGGGGAAGTGGTGAATGGGGGCATGGACCATGGAACCCATCATCTGACCCTTCTACTTTCTCCCAGTGAATCAGCTCCTTAAATCTGCACCCTCCTTTCTAATCCAGCTTAAAATGCATGGCCCATCACTTCAACTGTTTCACTTCAGTAATCCTCCACTCTCTTGTCCCTTGGTCCTTCTGCTTCAACCATGGGGTAAACCCCTGCAATATAGAGCTGTGGATTGTCCTGCAGGAAAAAATTCCTGCAAAAGGAATTGCTGGGTCAACATGCAAAAAAGGTTTACCCTTTTTAACTTACTGGATGACTGTGGGGAAAGAGCTCTCACCCATTGTTGGTGGGAGTGGAAATCAGTACTGAACATTTTAAATCTGCATTTGACAATGCCATATGCTTTGGATGAAAATTTTTACTCTCAGGAATTTATCCTATGGAAAATCTTAAACAAGTTCTAAAAATATATGCACAATCACCATGATTGTACCATTGTTTCAAATAGGAAATTATTGTAACAAGTTTTGCTGTAAGATAAATTCCTCAGGGCAGAATGGCTGGATCAAGGCTTCTCAGATATAAAATATTTAATTTGGGGCGCCTGGGTGGCTCAGTCAGTTAGGCATAGGACTCTTGATTTCAACTCAGGTCATGATCTCAGGGTTGTGAGATCGAGCCCCAAGTTGGGCTCCGTGCTCAGCGGGGAGTCTCCTCAGGATTCTCTCTCTTCCCTCTCCCTCTGCCCCTCCCCCCACGTGCATGCTCTCTCTCATTCTCTCTCTCTCAAATAAATAAATCTTAAAAAAATATTTAATTAAAAAGAAGAAAGTAAGAATCACTTGAAAAAAATAACAATTACCATTAGTTCTTCTGCCACTAGTCAGAAACAACCGTCTCTTTATTTTCTATTACTATTATGTATAATATTCAAGGAAATAGTTACTGAGGGAGAGTGCCTTTTCAAGATCAATATTATCACTACATTTAAAGATATGCAAACTGAGGTTCAGAGGGGTGAAGAAACTTGCAGGAGTAAGTAACAGAGTTGGAATGGGATCCCAGGTACACTTCAGAATAAAACACAGCACGTTAATCTATATTTTGATATTCCATCAAATTACTTCAATAACCCTGTGAAGAAAGGGTTACTTTCCTCCTTTTCAGAATGAGGAAACTGAAGCACAGAGGGGTTAAGTATCTTACCTATGGGTCACTCCTTAGTAATGTGCAGAACTCAGATAAGAACACAAAGTGCGTATGACCACAAAGCCTTTTTATCTTTTCAACTCATCACACTGCCTTGTGTTCTTTAACTATAAAAGCATTCATGAGCTTTGTTTCTGACTATGAAAGTAACTCATGTTCATTTCGGATATTATCAAAAGCACAGGCAACTATATAAAGATACAAATAACCTCCAATCTCACTCTCATTGATAAATAGTGTTCATGGTTTGCAACATCCCCTTGCAGTCAGAAACATCCACATATATGCACATTCATGTCAGCTACACATACCTTTTATGTGACCAGAGTCACATCGGATGGATATATGGTATTGTGTGCTAATTTTTTAACCTTCACATTATATCATTTGGCGTGAGGATAAGATCTCCATTTCCTTTGCAGAAATTTACCAATGATCCAGCACCAATTCTTATTGACTATGAATTCTCAAGCAATTTATCAAATACTCAATGTTTCCATGCACTTGGTTCTACTGATTATTTTTCTATCCTGTCTCATTAACATATATGTCAATTCTTGCACCAGGATTGGACTGTTTTAATACTGCATCTTTGTAGAACCTTGTCATCCAAGGTAATACTCTACATCTCTTCCCAAGCACAAGCCCTTTATCCTTCTTCTGATTGGCTTGAGAAAGCTAATAATAAAGGAACATAAAGATAACATTTATTGAGCCCTTAGTGCCAGACACTTCACTAAATGTTTTACATGTGTTTTTTCTTTTAATTTTCATTACAACTCAATTTGTAGGTTATTGCTGTTATAACAACCATTTGAAAGATTTTTTTAATGGGGCTCAAATAAATTAAGGAATTTGCCAAAGGTCATGCAACCAGAAAATGGTTGGCCCAAACCTCCAACGTGCATGTGACTCCATATTAGAGGTGAGGCCAGCACACCGGAAATGACTCATCCAAGGTCCTGAGGTTCATTATCGTGCTTAGTTCGTCTGTACTGTCTCCTCTTTCCAGGGCTCAGGGAACACTCTTTCTTTGGATGTTCAAATAGAAAGTGAAGTAACAGGGACAGGAAATCACATGGAATAAAAGGAAATAGGGCAATGGCTGTCTTCCCTTTCCCCAACTTCCTCAGATAACTCATTCCACAGCACAGAAATGGCACTCAACTTCATACATTATGTATTTAAACATTTCATTTATTCTTGCTACATTTCCAAATAATCTGACAGTTCTGCTCTTTGCTTTATGTCAGTCTCTTTTATGATACAGAAAAGTCAAGGTGGGCAGGACAAACTTCTTTTAAGTTGCATACTATATGCCAAACACTTCCTTAAGTTTTCTCATTTTCCTCACACAATTCTGTGAGAAAGGTATCAAATTCTTCCCATTTTACAGCAGCAGAATTCAGGTTCACAGAGAGTAAATAAACTTTCCAGAGTCATACATAGATCTTGTAAGAGGCAGGAATGGAGGTTCCAGCTCTTGCCCTCTCCCCACAATAGATACAGAGCAGCCTCCCTTCTGGAAGATGGGCTTCTAAGGCTGGAGAAATGGTTGGATCACACTCCCCTGCCCTTGTGGCCCCTTGAGTACTCACTCAACAACCCCTCTGGATGATGAAGATGACAGAGGAGATGAAATCCCGCCCCTTGTGCCAAGGCACCTGGATATGGGACCAAATCTGTTGGCTGATCCCTGAGGCAGTGAGTGGAGCTTGTACAGAAGCTCGGGCTTTTAAACAACTAGGAAGGTGACCTGGGTGATGAAAATAAACATTCATCAAACTCATTCTATATCATAGTAATTTCACATCTCATTTCATTTAATCCCAAAAACGAACTTTCAGGATAGAGATTACTATCCTCTTCATAACCTAGAGCTCAAGCCAATAGATTCAGGTTAGTAATATTGTAAATTACAGACCAGGAACTCTAAACCTGGACTTGTTCTAAAACCTGACCTTTTCTCTCTGTTTCCTGTGGCCTCATGGGCTTTGAATGCTTTCTCTATCTAACCTCCCAGTAGACTGGCAATTACTCCACCCCAGTGTATTCTTCAAACATTTATAATTAACCATATTGTTTTTTAATAATAAAAATCAGTAAAATTTTAAAACACTTACATTGCAAGAAAATAAAACAAAATATAAAATGGGAAGGAAAATCATTCACATATACTATAGACATTGAGTTAATATTCATGATAAATGAGAAAGTGACCATATGGTTTGACATGCTTCCAATTTATGTCTGTTTTTTAACAGTGCAAACTTCACTCTCAAAAGTGCTCAGTTCAGGGGCGCCTGGGTGGCTCAGTCGTTAAAAGTCTGCCTTCGGCTCAGGTCATGATCCCAGGGTCCTGGGATCGAGTCCCGCATCGGGCTCCCTGCTCCCCAGGAAGCCTGCTTCTCCCTCTCCCACTCCCCCAGCTTATGTTCCCTCTCTCGCTGTGTCTCTCTCTATCAAATAAATAAATAAAATCTTTTAAAAAAAGTGCCCAGTTCAAACAATAAATTATATGGTCATCCTCAATATAAATAATTCCTTTTGAATAGTAAGAGATGAGTAAAGGGTAACTTGTAATTTTCATAAAAAGCTGTGGAAGTGCCCAACAAATCAATAAAAAGATAACCCAAACACAATAATGAAAGAAATACAAATAAAAATCCTAACATTTCATAAGAAAAAAAAGAAAAGATGTAGATTAGCATGTTGTCCTTTTTCTTTTTGCTGATAACAGATATGTATAGCTGTATATTTATATTGTGCATATATGTAGTGCATGTATTTGCACAAAAGTACTTATATATGCTAGTACCATTATATATCTAAAAGAGAGCTGTTTTTCTGCTTCAAGTCAGAGTTCCCTTCCCAAGGGCACAGGAAATTCTAGAGGGGAGTGGAGGATAAAAACATTTGTAGAATATATTAACACTCCATTAAGAACACTTATCTTAGGAGGGCAAACAGCAGTTTCACCTCTATTTATACATTTCTCTATGATTTGATGTCCTAATGTACATATATATCAATTTTATAACTCAGAAAAGTAATTGAAATACAATTTTTAAAGCACAAGAAACATTTTGTTATGATGTAGCTCATACAGATAATGTTATAGATCTATTCATTTAGAACAGCATTCACTATTAAGCAATAAAAAGCAGATTATACACTATGTACAATATGATCCTATTTATTGTTGAAATACACTTATGTATACGAGTAAGTACATATCATAAAGCAAATGTGTCTGAAAGATATGATCCAAAATCCAAAATATGCACAAACACGCACACACTACACACCCACACACACAGATACACACTCCCTCAGAAACACTCACACTGGCGGCTTTCTCTTCATCTGAGACAGGGGTGGAACTTCCTGTCAAGAGCTCAGAGAACTAAACAGTATCTGATTCTGCAGGAAGGCCTGCCTGTGCCATTCAAGCCTCCAGCAAGCCCTGTTTGGTGGGTCAGAACAGAGGCCCCTCCCTCCCCAAATCCTTGTAGAGCCTCCTCCCAGAGATATCGAGAGATGTAGTTCTGACTCTGACCAGCAGGTGGCGATTATCTCAATACACAACCTTTGCTGCAATAGAAAAGCCTTGATTTCTATAAGAAACACTAGTAATCGTTGTACTTTTTAATAACAGATTATGAAACAGTATGTACACTATGATACAAGATATTTGAAAACTTTTGAATGTGTAGGAAAAAATTGAAACAGTGTATTCTTTTTATTTGCTGATGACGACTCCCAAATCTGTACCTCTCTTGTTCATTCATTCATTCAGGAAATATTTATTCAGAGGAACATATTTTTAACTGAGCTGTGTTACATTTCTATAAAAAATTTTCTCACAGATAAAGTAGTGACTTGGTGGATTATCTGGCTAAATTTCATGTTTAGCTTCTCCCTTTGCTTTTTGTCTATCTACTTGTCCCATCTTGTCAAGCTGGGTTTTTCATCCACGGGTTTGTGAAAATTTGTGGTCACCTTATTAAAAGGGTTTCCACTGAATATAGCTGACTAAGACCTACAAAACCTTACTGAAGAGTCAGTTTAACGCAACTAAATTGGACAAATATTTGTTGAGATCTAATCATGATCTGAGCATAGTGAATTCTCATAAAAGAAAGGGTTTCTATATAGCCCTTTCTGACATAACACAGTGGTAGATTTCTGGGAGAGATTTGGGCTTACCTCACCGCTAGAAGGGTGACCTATGCAATTTAGAATTCCTGTTGTTCTTTATGCCCAATGTCCTCTCCTAAAAGAGAGCTGTTTTTCTGCTTCAAGTCAGAGTTCCCTTCCCAAGGGCACAGGAAATTCTAGAGGGGAGTGGAGGGAGGTAAAAATAAATAACATTTTACATGCACTTCTTATGTTCCATGTGTTTTCCTGTCTTCTTATTTTACTTTCTAAATGTTAACATTGGAGAATCATTTTTCCTTTGTCCCTTAAAAGGCAAGACACTCATGGCGGGGGGCGGGGAAGCCTTCTTTGGCATGGCTTCTGGAGAGTCCAGCTAAGTTGGGAGAACTTTGGGCGTCCTAACAGACCAAACTCAGTATCTCTGTGACAACTTTGGGTAAATTCCTTCACCTCTTTTGACCTTACTTATCTGAATTCTACTTGCCCTGCTTTTCAATCATCCAGGATTGTGAAGGTTAAAAATGAGCTGTATATTATAATCAAGTGTCCCCAACTGTAGGGAACCACTATATGGTATCTTAGAGCTAATTGCTGCCAAAGGCACAGGCCTTAGACTCATTACCATGAGTGCCATTCCAGCTTTAGGAGAAGAATGTGAAAATACTTTAAATTGCCGTGAATTGAAGTTTTTTTATTATCATTTTACTGCAAAATAGGACCCAGTTAAGCGTTCAGAGTTCATTCAAGTCCCCATCAATCTGAAGTATGTCTTTTGCTTTAAGAGATATAATCTAGCTGCGCTCTCATCGTATCTATGGTGTCCTCCTCTTCTAAACTGGAGGCCCCCTTTCTGCATTCAAGTGATAATGGAGTAATGAGGTACACCTCTGTCCCTTCTCACCAGCACTAGAATTTAAACTGCAGACCAGGTTGGTTCTTCAAAATAAACCTCTATTCCCATAAAACTATAGAAGACAGAAGAGCACAAAGCTAAATGATAAGCACAATAAAATAATAAAGTATAGGATGTAAAATAGGGAGTTCCTGACAATGATATCTACCTCACTTATTTTTACAGGTGACAAAATGGAGCCCAGAGAAGTTCAATGACTTGCCCAAAATAAGACACCTGGCGAATGAAAGAGAAAGGACTAGGACCTACATATCAGAAAAAGCATATGCATTTCGATTTTGTTACACATGAACACAAAAAGAAAATATCCCCTGGTTTATAAATGTGGGATTTACAGCTGAGTCTCTGTCGTATATTGGAAGAAACATGGAGCTGACAGTCAGAAGGACACTTGTTCTCATCTCTATTTACCCACTTAGTGAATGTATGTCCCCAAACAAGGTACTTCATTTTTTCTGTTCACTTTCTCCTCCTAATGGAGAAGACAGTTACCCACATCAGAGTTATGAGTGATGAATAAATTAGGTAAAATACATAAGGGAGAAATCACAGAGCCAAGCACACTGCAGATGCTCAGAGTTCTCTGGCCTCCCTAGTAGGCAAAACAAAACAAGACAAAACAAAAAAGCATCCACCTGAAATCCTGCTATGGACCAGAGTGGGGCCTGCCTAAAAGAAGCCCTCCCTCTCAAAAAGACACTCCAGGTGTGGAATCAGCATTTGTACTATCCTGAGAGTGAGTGTCCCCTTAAATTGCGTGCTCTAGGAGCCTCACGTGCCTCACCTACCTCGCCTTCATCCTGGCCCTGGCTGAGAGGAACACTAATAACGATAATGGCTAAAATTACCTGAGCACTCACTATGTGCTAGTCATTAGGCCAAGACTGTTCCATGTGTTATCTATTTAATTCTTCCCTACCACCATGTGGAATAGGTAGTACTATTATGTTCTGTTTAGAGATAAAACAGAGACTTAGAATATTAAGTAACTTGTGCAAGTTCACACAATCAGTTATTGGCAAAGTTACGGTGATGGACTGTGTGTATTTAAAATCCATGTTACTAACAATTTGCAGACAGCATTACTTTGTTACGAAAATGAAGTTGAAAGAAGATAAGTGACTTGAATATAACTGCAACTCAGTGACCTGAATCTCAATGCAAATACCTCTCAAACAGACCGGCTCTTATGCTTTGTTCTCCTGTAGCATCTTGTCTTTCCAGGACTCAATAGGAAACCTCTAAAATTAATGTGGAGAATGAAACAACAGGAAAGGGCTGGATTATTTTCTTAGTGCGTCATCTGTATCATGCACATATGGTAACTAATGCAATGATCTTTTGTATTGATGATTGTGGGCTGAAATGTGCACATTATGCTAAGACAACTAAGCAGGGAGTCCCATAAATTAACTGGTTCCTGAGATGGTGTAGGTTTCAGGCAGAAGTATTGGTGTTGTTGGGGTGCCTGGGTGGCTCAGTCGTTAAGCGTCTGCCTTCGGCTCAGGTCATGATCCCAGGGTCCTGGGATCGAGCCCCGCATCGGGCTCCCTGCTCCGTAGGAAGCCTGCTTCTCCCTCTCCCACTCCCCCTGCTTGTGTTCCCTCTCTCACTGTGTCTCTCTCTCTCTGTCAAATAAATAAAATCTTAAAAAAAAATAAAGAAGAAGTATTGGTGTTGCAATTTGGGAAGGTGAAATAAGAAGAATGAACATAACATTTATATACTTTCTACTATACGGGATAAACATTATTATATTTCGTCTCCTGTATTCTTAATAACCACCATTCAAGGTAGCTAGAATTGTTGTCATTAAGCAGATGAAGACTATAAGATTCATAGGTTAAGTAACTTGCCCCTAGTCTCCAGGCTTGTAAGTGGCAGAGGAGGGACTCAAAACCTATACAGTACCTTAGGCCCAAGATCTTTCCAAAGTAACTTGCAGCCTCCTAGGCTTTGAAGCTAATTATTCAGGGCACTGGAATTTACCTAGAGATCGTCAGGACAGTGAAGAATGCCCACCAGTGCATTTTCTTTTTTTTTTTTTTTTAAGATTTCATTTATTTATTTGAGAGAGAGAGGGAGAGAGAGCACGAGCAGGGGGAGCGGCAGAGGGAGGGGGAGAAGCAGGCTCCCTGCTGAGCAGGGAGCCGGATGCAGGACTTGATCCCAGGACCCCAGGATCATGACCTGAGCCTAAGGCAGATGCTTAACCAACTGAGCCACCCAGGTGCCCCCACCAGTGCATTTTTAAACACCTGCTGTATTGCCTTATGAATAAAAAAAAATTATAAATAATAATGGAGATAAATGGAAATTTATAAATACTAAGAGGCAGAAATCTCACAGAGGAATACTACTGGCAAAGCAAAAGGAATATAAAATTACATGTGTACCTGTATAATCTGTTGATATATTTAAGTTAATAAGTAATTAGCAAGGAAAAACATCTGGAAGGACACATAGCTTATTAGCAATAGTGGTTTTATGGAGTAAAGGGTTGTGACATAAGAGACATAGAGGTTAAATTTTGCCTTCACATAATGTATTGCTATATTGTTTCATTTTATTTCAAGAAACACTTATTGATCTCATAATGTGAAAAATAATTGTATTGATACTTTCAACACAGAAAACAGCTGGTTTTAAACTGAATCAAAAAACTGATCGCAAAAAATATATGTATTGATATTGAAAGGTGCTCACAATATACTTTACAATGGGAAAATCTAATTATAAACTATACAGTAAGATCCTATTATTTAAAAATAAACCAATATATGTGTAAAGTATGTTAAAATCTATAACCCTAAATACTTACACACAAACATACACAACTCCTTTTTTTTTGTTTTAATTACAGTTTGTTAACATACAGTGTTATATTAGTTTCAGGTATACAATATAGTGATTCAACAATTCCATAGAACACCCAGTGCTCATCACAAGTGCTCTCCTTAATACCCATCACCTATTTAACCCATTCCCCCACCCACCTCCCCTCTGGTAACCATCAGTTTGTTCTCTGTAATTAAGAGTCTGTTTCTCAATTTGCCTCTCTCTCTTTTTCTTTGCTCATTTGTTTTGTTTCTTAAATGCCAAATATGAATGAAGTCATATGGTATTTGTCTTTCTCTGACTGACTTATTTTGCTTAGCATTATAGTCTTTAGCTCCATCCATGTCATTACAAATGGCGAGATTTCATTTTTTATGACTGAGTAATAGTCCATCATATATATGTATATATGCCACTTCTTCATCCCTTCACCTATTGATGGACACTTGGGCTGCTT